GCACTATTATTAATGCATGGATGTGTCCAAAGCATTTACATTTTGCAACTGGATTGACTTTGAGCTCATTTTCATTACTGTCTATTTTGGGAAAAAATCTCTCTTATCATTCGAATTTGATGCTTTGTATGTAATATCTTAATTAGATGTAAGATCGATGCTTTAAGGTTCAATATTTCCCTATAAAATAACATATTAATTTAAAACACCTTAGACTACATTGCTTCTTAGACACTAACATTTCTCACTCTCCTCATATATATATATTTATGAATATCTATGAATAGTCTTTTGCCATGTTTATGCCATTTTGGAATTTCTTTCTAATATTGCAGGGTCTTTACCCTTTATGTACGATATAAAGCACTTTGAGGTATTGTGGACTGGAGCTATATAAATAAAACTGAATTGAATTGAGTTAACTATCCATAACTGATAAGTCCAGAAACAGGTGTTGAGTACTCTCAAAGATGCTTCAGATTCTATAACCGCCTATAACCTTCATATGCAATGTTGAATCATTTGCAGTATCAAAATTAAATATATTTGCCATTACCACACCACTCACATTTATGAAACCTCTCTCACAAAAACAAATCTTAACCCATCTCAGAAACCACTTATCCAATCACCATCCACCATAGCCCTAACCTTCTGGTGGAAGCTGTAACTCCCTGACCGTCAACACAAAGAGAGAACTTTTGTTCGCCCTCCCCACTGTAATCCGTATCTCTTCACTTGTAAACGTCTTGTATCTGTAATGTATTGCTCAGCGCATTTAATATTGTTTTTGTTTCTGTAACATAGTTTTACCTGCAGGCACGGCTGACGTGGCGCGGAGCTCGGCTGCTGAGACCCATGCTGCAGTTTTTCTTGATTATGCTGGCAATCTACACAGGCCTGACCCGTATCTCAGACTACAGGCACCACCCGTCTGATGTATTAGCAGGCTACATACAGGGAGCTCTCACTGCCTACTGGGTGGTCAGTATAACTTGCCTGCTTGTCTTTGTGCATCAATGCGTGTCCACATGTCAAAGT